TGCCTGTCCCAAAAAAATTAGCATATCATGAAAAGGTTCTCTAAACAAGCTATTAACCTAACCATCTGAATCAACGACGTAACTCTAAACACCTGCAAAAGATTCCTGAGGCTTTTAAAAACTCCCAGCCTTGTTCATTACTCAAAACCGCAATCATGGGTAAGACTGCCGACCTGACTGCTGTCCAGAAGGCCATCATTCGGTATGTTTACATGGACGTAAGTAACCGGATCAAATGGCCGGTCGGAATAAAAGTGTGTCATGTAAACACTCCGTTCGGGTTATTTTTTGTGTATTCGGCGCGATCCGTTATAATTTCTGATCAGAACGAAACGGGTGGTTTACGCCGATCCGAAACCCGATCGGTGCGCATGTAAACGCTTGATCTGTTCGTTTTTATCTGATGGTGAAAAACTGACCTGACTGCGCATGTGCGACTTTGCCATTTCCGCCTGGCTAACGCTAATAATATTAGCATGTCAGGGAAGTAAAACTGGTCGGTGAGCGACACAACATTTCTACTAGAAACTTTTAAAGAGCTCAAAATGATCTGTATTACCTGTAGCTCAGTCAGGGAGTGCAATAACGTCCCCACCATCATTAAAACCTGTCGCGGGTCCATTTTGGGTGCTCAGGTTTGTTTACGTTCACCCGGAAGTAGAACTTCTTCTTCTGTGGTTTTTTTAAGGAGAGTTTACCACTCTGCGCATGTCAGTACTGCTGTTCAGAACAAAGCCCGCTGCAGGTAAACGCTCATCATGAACAGATTGTGCCCATGTAAACAACACATTTTAATTATTCAAACAGAACACATTTCAATCCGGTCAAAGAATTCTGCGCATGTAAACATAGCAAGTGACACCCTCAAGCAAGAGGGTAAGACACAGAAAGAAATTGCTGAACGAATAGGCTGTTCCCAGAGTGCTGTATCAAGGCACCTCAGTGGGAAGTCTGTGGGAAGGGAAAAGTGTGGCAGAAAACGCTGCACAACGAGAAGAGGTGACCGGACCCTGAGGAGGATTGTGGAGAAGGGCCGATTCCAGACCTTGGGGGACCTGCGGAAACAGTGGACTGAGTCTGGAGTAGACACATCCAGAGCCACTATGCACAGGCGTGTGCAGGAAATGGGCTGTAGGTGCCGCATTCCCCAGGTCAAGCCACTTTTGAACCAGAAACAGCAGCAGAAGCGCCTGACCTGGGCTACAGAGAAGCAGCACTGGACTGTTGCTCAGTGGTCCAAAGTACTTTTTTCGGATGAAAGCAAATTTTGCATGTCATTCGGAAATCAAGGTGCCAGAGTCTGGAGGAAGACTGGGGAGAAGGAAATGCCAAAATGCCAGAAGTCCAGTGTGAAGCACCCACAGTCAGTGATGGTCTGGGGTGTCATGTCATCTGCTGGTGTTGGTCCACTGTGTTTTATCAAGGGCAGGGTCAATGCAGCAGCTATCAGGAGATTTTGGAGCACTTCATGCTTCCATCTGCTGAAAAGCTTTATGGAGATGAAGATTTCATTTTTCAGCACGACCTGACACCTGCTCACAGTGCCAGAACCACTGGTAAATGGTTTACTGACCATGGTATTACTGTGCTCAATTGGCCTGCCAACTCTCCTGACCTGAACCCCATAGAGAACCTGTGGGATATTGTGAAGAGAAAGTTGAGAGACGCAAGACCCAACACTCTGGATGAGCTTAAGGCCGCTATCGAAGCATCCTGGGCCTCCATAACACCTCAGCAGTGCCACAGGCTGATTGCCTCCATGCCACGCCTCATTGAAGCAGTCATTCATGCAAAAGGATTCCCGACCAAGTATTGAGTGCATAACTGAACATGATTATTTGAAGGTTGGCGTTTTTTGTATTAAAAACACTTGTCTTTCATTGGTGGGATGAAATATGCTAATTTTTTGGGACAGGCATTTTGGGTTTTCATGAGCTGTATGCCATAATCATCAGTATTAAAACAATTAAAGACCTGAAATATTTCAGTTGGTGTGCAATGAATCTGAAATATATGAAAGTTTCATTTTTATCATTACATTATGGAAAATAATGACCTTTATCACAATATGCTAATTTTTTGAGAAGGACCTGTACACCAGGGAAACACCTCATCATGGCTGATGCACTCTCACGAGCACCCCTTGAGGACACTGTGAGTACTTCTGCTGATGATGTGGAAAGCTATGTAAACATGGTGTGTGCAGCTTTGCCTCTGTCTAATGCAAAATTCAGACAAATAGTAGCTGAAACAAGCAAACTAAATAGCCCATGATCATTGCAGACATGCCAGTGGCACCTTGGCATAAAGTAGGGATGGACTTGTTTCATTTAAAAGGCAAAGATTATTTAGTTGTCATTGACTATTACTCTAACTTTCCTGAGATGTCATTACTGTCAAGTATTTCATCAACCTGTGTTATTACACATGCAAAATCCATTTTTGCCAGGCATGGCATTCTGTACAAAGTTGTAAGTGATAATGGACCATGCTTTGATAGCAAGGAGTGGAAGAGGTTTGCAGACAGTTATGGATTTGAGCACATCACATCAAGCCCGCTCTATCCCCAGTCAAACGGGAAGGCTGAAAAAGGAGTACACTTTCTTAAACAGCTATTAAAGAAAGCAGCTGACAGTGGTTCAGATCCTTATCTTGCTTTGCTCAGTTATCGAGCATCCCCGCTGGAATGTGGACTGTCACCAGGAGAACTGTTAATGAACAGAAAACTGAGAACCACATTACCATGTTACATAAAAGAGAGGAAGCTTCCAAAACTGCAGCAAAAGGTAAGATCCCTACAAATAAAACAAAAAGATGTATATGACAAAAGAGCCAAGCATCTTCCGCTTCTCACCAGCAAAGACACTGTCAGGATTCAAGATCGTACTGGATGGATGACTAAAGCTACTGTTCTTCAAGAAGTTGCACCTCGATCTTTCACAGTAAGAACTGAGGAAGGACAAATCATCAGACGTAACAAACGCAGTTTGCTTAAAACACAGGAAACTGTTAAAGAAACTGATGGTGCAGATGATACATCTGGAGAAGACAACAAATCAGTTTCTCCATCCAAATCTGTCTCTCAATCTTCTTCAAACACCAACATAGAGCTCCCTAATGAACCTGCTTTAAGAAGATATACAAGACAGATTAAAAAACCTCAAAGGCTGAACTATAATTAAAAAATGTATTTATTATATTTGTTATATTATTTGTTACATTTCTTTGCTATTTTACCAGTGGTTGAAGGGTTAATGAACTTGTTACTTTAAGATCTAGTTATTGTAAATGTATAGAATGTTGTACTTTAAAGAAAGGGGGATGTAATGATATAACTGTCAATATCAGTTTTAGCCACTAGATGTCAGTATTCTTGGTAACATGGTGAAACTAGGATGTATATGTGTCAGTACATGTACTAATGTAACCCAGAACTGAGGATGTGTATTGGTCAAGATCAAGCGAACCTCCATTTTCAGCAGCTTCTCTGAAAACCTGCCAATCTGTTCGGTCAAAACAATCTCTCAATATGGGGCCACTGTCTTGGATCCAGCATTTAACTTTCTTTTGTACCGGTCTGGAGCGTCTCAG